CAAGGTGATGATGATCAAAGTGGGAATGGAAATGTCTCTGTTATTCCTATAGTGGGGATTGGAGGTTTAGGGAAGACCACGCTTGCCAAGTTGGTGTACGATGATGAAAGGGTCGTTGGGCATTTCGAAAAGAGGATGTGGGTGTCTGTTTCAGTGGACTTTGAAATTACTAGATTGATAAAGATGATTCTTAGTTCTGCATCAGATACAGAGATGAGTGATAAATTGAGTCTGGATCAGTTGCAAGGAAGGCTACGTCATGCTTTAAAGGAAAAGAAATTTTTGCTTGTTTTGGATGATGTTTGGAATGAGGATCCTATTAAATGGAGTGAGTTGAGAGATTTACTGATAGAGGGAGCCAAGTCAGGAAGTAAGATTTTAGTGACGACAAGAAATACCTCGGTTGCTGAGATGATGGGTACCATTCCAACAAACATTAATTTACAATTTCTTTCTTCCGAGGATTGTTTGTCTTTGTTTGTAGAATGTGCTTTTAAAGAGGGACGTGATAAAAACCATCCTAACCTCTTTGAAATGGGAAAGGATATTGTCAGAAAGTGTGGAGGGGTTCCATTGGCAATGAAAACTTTAGGGAGTCAACTATACTCCAAAACCGATGAGCGCGAATGGAAATTGGTGAGAGATTCTGAGATATGGGAATTGGAACAAGAAGATGCTGGTCACATTTTACCTGCTTTGAGATTGAGTTATACCCGATTGCCTCCTCATTTGAGACAATGTCTTGCATACTGTTTCCATCTCCAAAAGGATTTGACTGAATTTAGTAGTTTTCAATTGATCAGACATTGGATGGCACATGGAATCCTTGATCAGTCTCATGTTCATGGGAATATGGAGTTGGAAGACATCGGAGAGCTATATTTTAAAGATTTATGGGCGAGATCCTTCTTTCAAAACGTTGTTGATCATGACATTATCTACAAATTTGATATGCATGATCTTATCCATGATCTTGTACAATCAATTGCACATGGTGAGTGTTTTACAGTGAAGTCTGCAAACACCAAAGACATATTGGAAAATGTTAGACATTTGACAATTTTGGAAGCTGGCCAAAATGTTTCAACAGCCTTGCAAAAGTTGAACAAAGTGCGGACTTTAGAAGCATACGAAATAGAGATTGATGAATCATTCATGTGCACTTGCTTCTTAAGATTCAAGTATTTGTGAATGGTTGAGTTACCTGTATGTTCATTACAAGTGTTGCCAAGTTCCATTGGTTCCCTGAAACATTTGAGATATCTGAACTTGGGTTATAATGGAGCAATAACGAAACTCCCTAATGCAATTTGCAGACTGCAGAGCTTGCAAACTCTATTTCTTGAGGGATGTGAGAATCTTGAAAAGTTGCCCAAAGATATAAGCAAATTGATCAGCCTCACATCACTTTGGTTAACCACAAAACAAACAAGTTTTGCTGAGAATGGGTTGGGAGGCTTGAAATCACTTCGATTTCTTGGTATTATCATGTGTAGTAATTTAACCTATTTACCGTGTGAAACGAGCTATCTTGCTGCATTACGAATTATGTTGATAGACAAATGCGAACAACTGGATTTGGGGAACGTAAACTATCAAGGTACTCCACTGAGGCTCCAAAAATTGTTTATTAGACAACTACCACGAATGGTGGCATTGCCTAAATGGTTTCAAGGAGTAGCTAACATCCTTCAACTCTTGATTATTAAGAGCTGTGAGAATATGGAGGCATTACCTAGGTGGTTGGCAAGTTTCACATCACTCAAAAAATTAATTATTTATTCATGTCTGAAATTGTCGTCTCTGCCAGAGGGGATGCGTTCTCTTACCTCCTTAAGAGAACTTGGGATTGTAAATTGTCCTGAATTGGAGAGAAAATACCAGTGCAACATTGGAAAAGATTGGCCCAAGATTTCTCATGTGCCACATGTTTTCTTTCACTTCGTCGATTGATTTCTCCGTATATAATAGATGCAAACAAGATGAGTCCTAATCTCGTATGTTTGTTCTATTCTAATATAATTCCAGATAGTATCTCTTTCTTTCCTATTGTTTATTTGTTTTCTTGAGGGTGGGTGGGCCAAAGACAAATTATTCCAGGGCACAATTATTTGTCTCTTTTTTTTTTTTTTTTCTTTTTTTTTTTTTACAATTTCTCTTGTTCATTGTCCTTTTGTGGCTAATTATCAATGCCTTTTTAACAATTTTAAAAGAAAAGAAAAAACTTATTTTTCACGTTCTTTAAGTCTGCCATAATTTATTTTATTGAGATAAACAATTTTATAAAGGAGAAAGCAGTTGAGGTTTCTATTCGCAGTCGATGTGGGATTGCAACCACAACCCAAGGGTCAAGGTCATTCTTTATCAGCAAAGAAACGTGCCAATTTTTCTAAGAAAAAACAAAAACAATTTAAACAAATTGTGCTACAGCACAAAGAGATGTGTTCATGGGTAACATATTAGTGAATGGTAAGGATCAATCTAATGGAAAATAAAGTAGGGAGATTTACTATAATACCCAATATATGAGCTTAAATTATATATATAAAAAACCTATATGAAATAGACTTTAAAAATACACCCAAAACTCATTAACAGCATAACAAAAAGGTTTATAACTTCTTTTAAATTGCAAAATTGCCATTGATTTCTTAAAACATATCCAACCCTACAAATCTCATAAAAAAGCCCAAAACACTCTATGGGGCATCAAAGTAATTTAATAATTAAAATTAAATTCAATAGGGTCAGCTGTCATTTTTTTGAGTTTTTTGAGTTTGTTTATAGAAATTCAATGGTGTGTCGTTTATTTATAGTTTTAGTGCTAAGAATGGGTACCTACCGAGCGTGGTTAACTAACTCAATGTGAATGCAAGTAAGTATAGGTTTCTATTTGAAGCCAAATTCAAAGTCAGTTCATTTCATTCATACCTTGGGAAAATAAGAGCCAAATATATATCTCCCAATTCCCTTGTATTCACCTTATTAAGAACAACATGACTGAAATTGCCTTTCCTTTGGCAACCAGACTCATTGAAAAGCTCGGGTCCATTGTTTCTGAAGAGATTTCCTTGGCATGGGGCGTTCAAGCTGATCTGCAAAATCTTGGGCACACAATGTCCATCATCAAAGACGTTCTCTTGGATGCCGAACATAAGCAAGCTCATAACTAGCAGCTACGCAGTTGGCTATGACAGCTTAAACATGTGTTTCTTGATGCCGAGGATTTGTTGGATGCATTCGAGTGTGAAACTTGGCGAAGGGAAGTGGTGGAAAAATTTCATCCCACAACCGAAAGGTACGCCGTTTCTTCTCTTGTTCTAATCCAATCGCATTCTGTTCGAGAGTAGCTCATCAAATCAAGGAGATCGAGGAGAGGTTAGATGAGCTCAAGTTCGACAAGGCTATATTTGATTGTCTCACAATTGACTCAAAATAATTAGAGCTTAAACTGATATGTTTATTCTTCTCTCAAGGAGGAATATATATACTACATACGGAGTGGTTACAAACAGGAAATATGTACAAAATCTCCTAATTCTACTCAAATTAGATAATTACAATAAAATATAAACTCTATTCCTAATATGAACAAATTCTATTCCTAATAGGAACGTTGACTCACACCAACATTCCCCCTCAAGTTGGTGCATAGATATTGGTAATGCCCAACTTGTCAAGTAAGTCTTCAAATCGGCGCTTTGATACGGCATGGGTCAACATATCTACAAGCTGCTCTGAAGAAGGCACAAAAGGTATAGAAATTAACTTATGCTCTTATGCTCCAGCTTCTCCTTAATGAAATGCTGATCAACTTTTACATGCTTAGTTCGATCATGTTACACTGGATTGTTAGCGATTTCAAATGCAGATTGATTATTACAGTAGAGCTTTGTAGCAGCATTCGGTCTAAACCCAATTTCAGCAAGTAACCACCTCAACCACAGTATTTCACAAACCCCTTGGGCAATCCCTCTGTACTCAGACTCTGCAGAGGACCGAGACACAACGTTTTGCTTCTTGCTGCGCCACGTAACTAGGTTACCACCAACAAAGGTGAAATAACCTTATGCATAACGTATATATGTAATATTCCCTACATAATCTGCGTCAATATAACCTTCTAGATCCAAGTGACCATTTTTCTTAAATAATAAACCTCTCCCAAGAGCAGACTTTAAGTAACTCAGAATACGCATCACAGCAGCCATATGATCCTCACTAGGTGAATGCATAAATTGGCTAGTAACGCTTATAGCATAGGCAATATCAGGGCGTGTCAGTGATAAATAAATCAATCTCCCAACCAACCTTTGGTATCTTTCTTTGTTAGTTGAGACCTGATCCACATAAACACCAAGTTTATGATTCTCAATAATAGGTGTATCAACTGGTTTACAGTGAAGCATTCTAGTATCTGCTAGCAGGTCCATGACATACTTCCGTTGTGAAAGAAATAAGCCATGTTTAGATCGAGTGACTTCTACTCCTAGAAAATATTTCAGACTGCCCAAATCTTTCATCTCAAATTCATATGCTAAACACTTATGCAATTTCTCGATTTCTATAGTATCATCACCAGTCACAATCATATCATCAACATAAATAATCAACAAAGTCACCTTACCAGCCATATGTTTAATGAATAAAGTATGATCAGTATTGGCCTGTTGGTAACCAAACTTCTTCATAGCTGTAGTAAATATGCCAAACCATGCTCGAGGAAACTGCTTTAACCCGTACAACACCTTTTTTAATTTGCACACGTTCTCCATTTCACCGATAACCTTATATCCTGGTGGAAGACTCATGTACACTTCTTCTTCTAGTTCACCATATAAGAATGCATTTTTTACATCAAATTGCCTCAGGGTCCAATCCAAGTTTACTGCTAAAGACAACAAAACTCTGACAGTATTCATCTTAGCCACAGGTGCAAAAGTATCATGATAATCAACTCCATGTGACTGAGTGAACCCTTTAGCTACTAATCTTGCCTTGTACCTCCTCATTTGCAACAATGTCTTGTTTACTGTTCCCTTCTTCAAAAAGATAGGATTGAATGTAGTAGTTATGCATTGATCAGATATTGGATGGCACATGGAATCCTTGATCAGTCCCGTGTTCATGGGAATATGGAGTTGGAAGACATCGGAGAGCTGTATTTTAAAGATTTATCGGCGAGATCCTTCTTTCAAAACGTTACTGATCATGGAATGTACTACGAAATTGATATGCATGATCTTATCCATGATCTTTTACAATCAGTTGTACAAGGTGAGTGTTTTATAGTGAAGTCTGCAAACACCAAAGACATATCTGAAAATGTTAGACATTTGACATTTTTGGAAGCTGGCCAAAATGTTTCAACAACTTCGCAAAAGTTGAACAAAGTGCGGACTGTAGTAGCAGAGGAAATAGAGATTGATGAATCCTTCATGTGCACTTGCTTTTCAAGATTCAAGTATTTGCGAGTGCTTCAGTTACCTACATGTTCATTACAAGTGTTGCCAAAATCCATTGGTTCCTTGAAACATTTGAGATTTCTGAACTTAAATTTTAATGAAGCAATAACGAAACTCCCGAATGCAATTTGCAGACTGCAGAGCTTGCAAACTCTATATTTTGGTGGGTGTGAGAATCTTGAAGAGTTGCCCAAAGATATAAGCAAATTGATCAGCCTCACATCACTTGGTTTTACGACGAAACAAACAAGTTTTACAGAGAATGGGGTGGGATGCTTGAAATCACTTCAATTTCTTACTATTATCAAGTGTAGTAATTTAACCTCTTTGCCATGTGAAACAAGTTATCTTACTTCCTTACGGACTCTAGCGCTAGAGGAATGTGAACAACTGGATTTGGGGAACGTAAATTATCAAGGAACTCCACTGAGGCTTCAAAACTTGTGGATTATGAATTTACCACGGATGGTTACATTGCCTGAATGGTTTCAAGGAGCGGCTAACACCCTTCAATTCTTGGTTATTAAAGAGTGTGAGAATTTGGAGGCATTACCTGAGTGGTTGGCAAGTTTCACATCACTCACAAAGTTGATCGTTGGTAAATGTCAGAAATTGTCGTCTCTGCCAGAGGGGATGCGTTCTCTTACCTCCTTAAGAGAACTTGTGATTGGTGATTGTCCTGAATTAGAGAGGAGATGTCAGCGCAACATTGGAGAAGATTGGCCCAAGATTTCTCATGTGCCACATGTCTCCTTTCACGTCCTCGATTGATTTCTCCATATATAATAGATGCGAACAAGGTGGGTCTTCTCGTGTGTTTGTTCTATACTAATATTATTCCTAGTTTCTTCAGCTGTCTCAGTATTTCTTTCTTTCCCTTTGTTTGTTTGTTTTCTTGTGTCTAGGTACTTACTGGATTGTATTTTATTTAGTTTGGATTGTTTCCTGCTTAGATCAATTTGATTTTATTTTATTCAAGTTGTGGAGTGGACGACTAAAAATAAAAGATTCATCTTTGTAAATAATAGTTGTGTACATGCGTGGGGTGATGTGCACAACGACTTTGTTTTCATTCATCCAGTATTGTATATATGCAATGTGATGATTTCATTCATCCATAACATCTTAATATTATGATAATCTTTATTTGTTTATTTATTTATTATCATGATGTGTCTCCTCAGCTACATCAAAAGTTTTGGTGGCATTATGGCTTTACATGCGAAAACAGGAATACACTCAGTTTTGGTGGCATTAAATCCATTTCTTCTTAATAACCAACTTCTCCGTTAATTTTTTTTTTTGCATTGTCTTAGATCTTGGGAATGTCGATTCTACATCTTAAACTAGTATAACTCTCTCTTTCTCAAGAAAGTAATATAAAATTTTGTAATGGCCAAACTTAAAAAAGAAGAAAAAAAAAAAGTAATTAATGAACCTTTTTTTTTTCGGTCCTATGCCTGTGGTGATCAAAATTGAAGTGAAATGTATATGTTCCCCACACCACATGGTGTTTATAGCATTTATATGTTCCAAGTTAGTAAACACGCGCCTAAACCACACTGAAACAATTGAAATTAAGTCATACTATAGTGAAATTAATTCATAGTATATGTGTTCACTTATTAGGAATGAGTATTGAAATAATTCCAGTTTTTGGAAATTATCGAGATAAGGGACATGTTTCACCATGGTTTTCTTAGAAACCGATTTTTATGCCTCAAATTGCCAAGACACATGACCTTCATACTTTAAGTCATAGATGATATTGAGTTATTATCTAAGCATTGCAGTTATTGTGAGAGGTGAAAGAGAGATAAAAGAATGGTGATAGTTATTTCAAAGAAAGATTGGTGATAAAAATGTATTTTACCCTTATTATGTTTGTTTTTCTTTCATTTTATTAAGGATAAAATCGTAAAACATGGACATATGATTAGTTGACAAGATTCTTTTCTGATATAAAATATAGATATAAAATAGATTTAAGTACAAACAATGACAATATATAAATTATTATATTTTCAGATGTTATTATTGTCTTTCTCTTTTCCAGAATTGAAAGCCGCTTTAAGCTGCAACCACTAGAAATATATAGCCAAAAGGGAAGTGTACAAGAGTAACAATGAGTCAAGGCAACCGACATGTTTTATGTACTAAAATAACCATTTAAAATTCACATGGTACTTGCTTCCTAAAATTAAAAATTACAGGTCAATGGGAATTATCGTAGCTCAACCACATAATGACATGTGTCTCTCTTTACCGAACATATTTTTTTTTACCAAAAACCCAAAAGTACAAGGTCAGTGGAAATTTTTACTGAGGAAGGAAATTATTCGAAAAACACGATTGAGAAAAATCAAAGTGAAAGAAAGGGACCTTTTTTTTCGGTTTTGGTAAAAAAGAATGGATTTAGTAAAAGTTAAAAAAATAAAAAAAAAACTTTTGACAATTAAAAAGGAGAAAATACATGCCACTTATGGTTGAGCCACAATAAAAGAGAAGAAAGAGTTCCTTCTTGTTGGCAAAGTTTGTGAACTAGAAAATAAGCTCAAAAAATTATTTGAAAGACAGCTGTAAACAAAAAAGGGCACTATTGTCAATAAACTGCAACCAAATGCTAAACAGACAGGAAGAAAGAGGATACGTGGAAAGGAGTTTGGGCAAAATGAATGGGTAAGAAATTTTTTTACATTGGGTCGCATGCTGAAGAAAATTGAAGTGTTAGTGTAAAGCCTCAAAGAATCTGGAGAGCAATGTCGCATGGTCCTCATTATTATGCTTAGTTTTTGAGTGACATGTCGTCCTTTCATTGAAAGCTTTGGCATCTCTCACTTTCGTATTTTCGGTCTTCCACTCTCATAAGAATATTGCTTTTCTTTCTCTTCCTCTCACATTGCTTTTCGTATCAAGAAAAGAATGAAGGTGCTTGGAAGCTGTAGGATTTTATATGAAGACATATTTTTGTTTTAGCAGAATCAACATCTATTCTCGTATTTCACTTGTACTGTATACACCCTCTCAACAGAACCATGGCTGATCTTGCCTTTCCTTTGGCAACCAAACTCATTGAAAAGCTCGGCTCCAATGCTTCTGAGCAGATCTGCTTGGCATGGGGCGTTAAAGCTGATCTGAAAAAGCTTCAGCACACGATGTCCATCATCAAAGATGTTCTCTTGGATGCCGAACAGAAGCAAGCTCAGCCATGATATTGGAAGGCGAAAGAAACAAACAAGGGGAAATAAAGAAATACTGAGATAGCTGAAGAAAGAAACTAGAAATTAGTACACAACAAACACACGAGAGGGATCCACCTTGTTTGCATCTATTATATATCGAGAAATCAATCCAACCAGTGAAAGGAAACATATGGCACATGAGAAATCTTGGGCCAATCTTCTCCAGTGTCACCCTGGCATCTCCTCTCCAATTCAGGACAATCAACAATCACAAGATCTCTTAAGGAGGTAAGAGAACGCATCACCTCTGGCAGAGACGACAATTTCTGACATGAACCAATGACCAACTTTTTGAGTGATGTGAAACTTGCCAACCACTCAGGTAATGCCTCCAAATTCTCACACTCGTCAATAGCCAAGAGTTGAAGGGTGTTAGCCACTCCTTGAAGCCATTCAGGCAATGCCACCATCCGTGGTAAATTTATAATCCACAATTTTTGAAGCCTCAGTGGAGTTCCTTGGTAATTTACTTTCCCCAAATCCAGTTGTTCACATTTGTCTAGCACTAGAGTCCGTAAGGAAGCAAGATAGCTCGTTTCACACGGCAAAGAGGTTAAATTACTACACTTGACAATACCAAGAAATTGAAGTGATTTCAAGCATCCCACTCCATTCCTTGTCAAACTTGTTTGTTTCGTCGTTAACCAAAGTGATGTGAGGCTGAACAATTTGCTTACATCTCTGGGCAACTCTTCAAGATTTCCACATCCATCAAGATCGAGACTTTGCAAGCTCTGCAGTTTGCAAATTGTATTGGGGAGTTTCGTTATTGCTTCATTATAACTCAAGTTCAGATTTCTCAAATGTTTCAAGGAACCAATGGAACTTGGCAACACTTGTAATGAACATCTAGGTAACACAACCAGCACCTACTAGCATAACTTCAAGCCATGATATTGGAAGGCGACATGTCAAGATGTAAGAATCAAACAGGGGGTTCATTTAATTATCAGACCAGCCCAAGACGAGGCCAAGTTTTAGAAACAAAAACAGAAAACTAAAGTCTTCCTAATTACTGATAAGTTAGTAGTATCCAAAAACAACTTAAAATACCTTGTTCATAAGAATAAGCAACATTATTACTTTGCGAGGCTAGAAATTTGATGTTACCCTAAACATAATTACAAAACAATCGGATTGGATCAGTCTCATCAGCTTCAGATCACTTTCAATAAATACCACAAAACAAACAAGTTTTACAGAAAATGAAGTGAAAATCTTGAAATCACTTTATATCCTGTTGTTGGAGATTTTACCTCTTCACTGCGTGATGTGAAATGAGTAATAAAAGGCCATTCTCTTTTTTGGTTGGAGAGTTGCCATTAAACTCACACACAAAAATGCAAGAAAAAAGGTACCTCTGTCCTCACTCATCATTGTCAAGTAATATGTATGTCCTGTTTCTCAACATAATTACGGGATTATTTGTTAAAGGGCGCGAAAAAACCTTTCCTCCAACCATCTTTCAATTATAATTTTTTTCTTTTTAAATTTTATCAAACATCAAATGTATCTAATGGGGATTGAGGTTAGGTTGTTTTACTCACGTGACGAGTTAGTTGATCACTTCAATTCAATAGAGTCCCTTGCCTGCCGATCCGATAAGGCAGTCTATGTAAGTTCAATGATCTTATCGTGCATACACTATGCCAAAGCCCCCTCCCCACCGTGGTATTACTCAAGAGAAAAATGCATTGATGATTCAGCCACAAAACAGAGAGAACAAGAGAAATTATAAAGAAAAATAAAAATAGACAAAACAGTTCGTCTTCACCGTTGAACTTTGGTGGGGATAAATTATAATAGTTGTACCCACGCACGCCATCCTCAAGTTGTCTTTATAATATTTGTACTCACCCACCCTCAATTATCTGTAGGAGATGTCTTCATAAAAATACCTGTGTAGCTTTCCGCAAGTTGTTTTTAATTATAATATTTGTACTCAACCAACCACCCTCGAGTTGTCTTTAGTCGTTGTAATATATGTAGACTGTACCCTTCAATAGTCTTTCTAAATAACCATCCTTGCGTAGTTTTCTTTATAATATATGTAGATTGTACCCTTCAAGTTATCTTTATAAAATTCGAACTCCAAGAAAGGACACACTCAACTTTAATTGTCAAATTCGAACCAACCCCTGGATGCCGAAGGCATCCTTGGGGTGATCTCGCAATTCCTACGATAGGTGCTTCCTTCTAGGCGGCATGCTCCCTTACCGATGCATTTTTACATCCCACAGCTTTAACATATTGCTTGTTACAAATGTGTGGTGTCAAGTAATTTCTTGGTCCTCAACCGGAGCTTGTGGATTTAAGGGTATAAATAACCAAGCAATTGTGCATTGAATGAAAAACTGGTTCAATATGAGTTCTTTTCTACGTCTCAAGACAAATGAAGACTTTATGATTTTCTCTAATACGAGACTAAGGAAAATAAATGGACATAAAGAAAACAAACAGTGCGTCAGATATGAGGATCTAGTTAGAACTAAGACTACTACAACCTTCAGTTGCTTTTGAACACTGAAATAGCCTTTCGGGGGTCTATGAGATTTAGTAGCAGTTAAATAGAGGATTAGAACCTTTAGTATAGATATGAACAACACCATTGAGATGTTTCAATCAAACCCCATGTGTGTATGAGAAACCTCATTCCCTTGTATTTAAAACAAAAACAAAAAACAAAAAACAAAAAACAAAACAAAACAAAGAATCTGGAGAAAATTGAAGTGTTAGTGTAAAGCCGCAAAGAATCTGGAGAGCAATGTCACATGGTCCTCATTATTATGCTTAGTTTTTGAGTGACATGTCATCCTTTTATTGAAAGCTTTGGCATCTCTCACTTTTGTATTCTCGGTCTTCCACTCTCATATGAATATTGCTTTTCTTTCTCTTCCTCACACATTGCTTTTCGTACTGTATACACCCTCTCAACAAAACCATGGCTGATCTTGCCTTTCCTTTGGCAACCAAACTCATTGAAAAGCTCGGGTCCATTACTTCTGAGCAGATCTTCTTGGCATGGGGCGTTGAAGCTGATCTGAAAAAGCTTCAGCGCACGATGTCCATCATCAAAGATGTTCTCTTGGATGCCGAACAAAAGCAAGAACATAACCAGCAGATACGCAGTTGGCTAAGACAGCTTAAAGATGCATTTCTCGATGCCGAGGACTTGTTGGATGAGTTTGAGTGCGAAGCTTTGCGGAGGGAAGTGGTGGAAACATTTCATGGCACAACTGGAAAGGTACGCCGTTTCTTCTCTCGTTCTAATCCAATCGCATTCCGTTTCAGAGTAGGCAATGAAATCAAGGAGATTAGAGAGAGGTTAGATGGACTCAAGTCCGATAAGGCTATGTTTGATTCTCTCACTAGTATTGATCATCATGGAGGTGGTGGTGATCATCATGAAAGAGTGAATGTGACCCACTCCTTCGTTCGTGCTTCAAAGGTTATTGGTAGAGAATCTGAGAAGAAACAAATTGTAAATCTCTTGATGGAACAAGGTGATGATGATCAAAGTGGGAATGGGAATGTCTCTGTTATTCCTATAGTGGGGATTGGAGGTTTAGGGAAGACCACACTTGCCAAGTTGGTGTACGATGATGAAAGGGTCGTTGGGCATTTCCAAAAGAGGATGTGGGTGTCTGTTTCAGTGGACTTTGAAATTACTAGATTGATAAAGATGGTTCTTAGTTCCGCATTAGATACAGAGATGGGTGATAAATTGAGTCTGGATCAATTGCAAGGAAGGCTACGTCATGCTTTAAAGGATAATAAATTTTTGCTTGTTTTGGATGATGTTTGGAATGAGGATCCTATTAAATGGAGTGAGTTAAGAGATTTATTGATAGAGGGAGCCAAGTCAGGAAGTAAGATTTTAGTGACCACAAGAAATACCTCGGTTGCTGAGATGATGGGTACCATTCCAACAAGCATTAATTTAGAATTTCTTTCTTTCAAGGATTGTTTGTCTTTGTTTGTAGAATGTGCTTTTAAAGAGGGACGTGATAAAGGCTATCCTAACCTCTTTGAAATGGGAAAGGATATTGTCAGAAAGTGCGGAGGGGTTCCACTGGCAGTGAAAACTTTAGGGAGTCAACTATACTCAAAGACTGATGAACGAGAATGGAAATTGGTGAGAGATTCTGAGATATGGAAATTAGAAGGGGAAGGTGCTGGTCACATCTTACCTGCTCTGAAATTGAGTTATACCCAATTGCCTCCTCATTTGAGACAATGTCTTGCTTACTGTTCCCATCTTCAGAAGGATTGGATTAAATATAGTAGTTATGAATTGATCAGATATTGGATAGCACATGGAATCCTTGATCAGTATCATGTTCATGGGAATATGGAGTTGGAAGACATTGGGGAGTTGTATTTTAAGGATTTATGGGCGAGATCCTTCTTTCAAAACGTTATTGATAATCATATTTTCTTCAAATTTGATATGCATGATCTTATCCATGATCTTGTACAATCAATTGCACAAGGTGAGTGTTTTACAGTGAAGTCTGCAAACACCAAAGACATATCTAAAAATGTTAGACATTTGACAGTTTTGGAAGCTGACCAAAATGTTTTAACAACCTTGCAAAAGTTGAACAAAGTGCGGACTATAACAGCAGAGGAAACAAAGATTGATGAATCCTTCATGTGCACTTGCTTTTCAAGACTCAAGTATTTGCGAGTGGTTGTGTTACCTAGATGTTCATTACAAGTGTTGCCAAGTTCCATTGGTTCCTTGAAACATTTGAGAAATCTGAACTTGAGTTATAATGAAGCAATAACGAAACTCCCCAATACAATTTGCAAACTGCAGAGCTTGCAAAGTCTCGATCTTGATGGATGTGGAAATCTTGAAGAGTTGCCCAGAGATGTAAGCAAATTGATCAGCCTCACATCACTTTGGTTAACGACGAAACAAACAAGTTTGACAGAGAATGGAGTGGGATGCTTGAAATCACTTCAATTTCTTGGTATTGTCAAGTGTAGTAATTTAACCTCTTTGCCATGTGAAATAAGCTATCTTGCTTCCTTACGGACTCTAGTGCTAGACAAATGTGAACAACTGGATTTGGGGAAAGTAAATTATCAAGGAACTCCACTGAGGCTTCAAAAATTGTGGATTATAAATTTACCACGGATGGTGGCATTGCCTGAATGGCTTCAAGGAGTGGCTAACACCCTTCAATTCTTGGCTATTGACGTGTGTGAGAATTTGGAGGCATTACCCGAGTGGTTGGCAAGTTTCACATCACTCAAAAAGTTGGTCATTGGTTCATGTCAAAAATTGTCGTCTCTGCCAGAGGGGATGCGTTCTCTTACCTCCTTAAGAGATCTTGTGATTGTTGATTGTCCTGAATTGGAGAGGAGATGCCAGCGTGACATTGGAGAAGATTGTCCCAAGATTTCTCATGTGCCATATGTTTCCTTTCACTGGTTGGATTGATTTCTCGATATATAATAGATGCAAACAAGGTGGATCCCTCTCGTGTGTTTGTTCTGTACTAATTTCTAGTTTCTTTCTTCAGCTATCTTAGTATTTCTTTCTTTCCCCTTGTTTGTTTGTTGTGTTGTGTTCGGGTTGTGTTTTATTTAGTTTGGATTGTTTCCTGCTTATATCTATTTTATTTTATTTTATTCAAGTTGTGGAGTGGACGACCAAAAATAAAAGAATCGTCTTTGCAAATAATAGTTGTGGACATGCGTGGTGTGGTGTGCACAACGACTTTGTTTACTTTCTTTGTATCGCTTGCTAATTCCAGTATTGTATATATGCAATGTGATGAATTATTTCATCCATAACATCTTCTCAAACTACCTTAATATTATGATAATCTTTATTTATTGGTTTATTTATTTATTATTATGAGGTGTCTCCTCAGCTACGTGAAAAGTTTTGGTGGCTTTACATTCGAATATATAACTCTTGTCATCAGGCTGCAAAAACAGGAATACAATCAGATTGGCACTGATAATTGTTCTCCGTTAAATTTTACTCTCATCATTAAGGAATTCTTAAAAAAAAGGGCCCTGCACCTATTGTGGAGGAATGATGCAAGATCCTCATACTAAATTTTTCATTTTTCATTTGTTTTTTTTTTAACCATTCTTTCTCATTCACCAATTACATCACCCAACATACATTGCACTTCAATCCTAAAATTTGCATCTGGGACCTCTTGACTTGGAATTGGCCAGTCGAATCTTGCATTCCGCCGTTGACCTAGTCCGAGCCTCGGTACATCCAACCAGTGGTGGATTAAGGAATTTTTCGTGTTGGGGGCGAAATGTGAAAGCGCAAAGCATTTAGTTTTAAGAGAAAAATAATAAATTTCTAGAACCCACGCCAAAATATTTGTGCCCAATATAGACATATGAAATGAAACTAACTTCAAACACTTTGTCCCTTTTAGATCTGTCACTTATTTTTGTCAACAGATTGCCCCCTTCCTATTTTCTCTCAAGACTTTTCTCAAAGACTTTGCCCCCTTCAAGCAGAACTTCAAAGAACATTAGAGCAAGTCCAGCAGCACAGCCCAGCCCGAGGGGAGGGGGGAAAAAAACAAAAATCCGTTTCCAGCCATGCAGCCCAGGCCCGGGGGGGGGGTGGGA